TCTGCCATCATTGTGTCCATGGTTTCCTAAATCTTTGCCATGAACTCCTGGACGTTGGTCAATATTCCTGACAGTGTCCTCCAGCTGAGACATCTTCTGTGAGTCCGTAATGTTTACTTTGTCTTTCCTTTTCGCAAGTCTAGTAGTGGTATTAATTGGAGGCCGAGGGTCATTCTGCTCTGATATCATTTAGTCAGACACTTAATTAGGGTTTAGTCGTGGGCTAAAAGTAAGGTTGGAAATAGAGAAAAGAGAGGGAGAAGAAAAGAGAGAGAGAGAGAGCTAAAGGGAAAAAGAGAAAAAGGAAGAGATAATTTTGAAGACTAAATCCTAGATATTTTTCATTACTCATTTCTGGTATTTACAATGCATATACAGTACCAATTGTTGGTGCAAATGACAGAATGATTGGTGCAAATAATAGCAGTGTACCAACAGCTGTTATCATGAGCTGACATGAATATTCCTAGCATATTTCGAGTAACTAATGGTAATTAAGTTCAAAATACCTTAATTAATTCCCTACCCTCTTTATTTCTGACAGATTCATGAAGCTAATAATCTTATTTAGCATATCCATTCACACAGTGAAAATCTCCCAGAAGTAAAGGTTGTGTTTTTTATATATCCTTATCTACATACATTTCCATGTACCACAAGCAAGCCTTTGGTCAAGATCTCCATATGCTTGACTTGCACAGAGAAAAAAGGGAGGGTAATAGTCACCAAATCATTTCCTCATGTAGTGTAATAGCAGAAATCAGTCCATGTGGTATGTGATCCAAAAGTCAGACAATCTGCATATTCTGAGGGGGAAGGGGTTGGGGAGAAGATTTGCCTTGTATTAGTGCACTCTTTCAAAAATTTAGAAAGGATTCTTATAAGAGTATTACAATATTTTTTGGTGGGTCTAGAACAATGATGGTATGCATTTTTGTATTAACAGGCCTAAAGTCTACTTGACACTTGGTACTTGCTTCCGGGTGTAATTTAGTTAACGTCAAACTGAATACTTCAGATTTTTTTCAGCTTATTCGAGGATCAAATATATTGCCTTAATGAATTGGAGTAGTTGCATATTCGGGTCATACATTTTGTCAACTCCTGGTCACCGGTTTTTGTCATTCTTTATAAAAACTTCAATTCTAATGTAGTCATTCTTTTTTGCCTTCAATTTAAAGAATATGTTGATCAGATGGTACTCAATGTGCAAATGAAGGAAGAGATCTCACCATCTCTCAGGAATATAGTCAATCAATTTGATGAAGATAATAGAAGACTATCGGATATTTTTTCTCTTGTCCAGAAATCAGTGGACAACATTGATGGTGCATATGATAATGAAAATGATTATGATGATGGCGCTTCTGAGAATTGTGGCACCTACGCTTTTGATCATGATGACCAACCAAACATTATTGAGGAAAACCATACTGTGGAGCCAACTTTTGCAAGTTACAATGAGGTCTTTATTAATTGCTATCTTCCAGACTATATTTCATTTGGATGTTTTTCTCTCTTTATTCAAATAAACTATCAATCAAGTTGTTTTGCTGATAATTCGAAATTAAATTTGCAGGAAATGGAGCAATTTTCTTCTCACAGTCCTAATGTGGATGACAAATTTGAGGAAGTTGATGAATATTTGTTTCTAAGTTTGGGATTTTCAAAGCAAAATGCCTGGGCAGGTCCAGATCATTGGCAGTATCGAAAAGCTAAAAGTATGGATTTCAATTCCACTGGCAAGTGATGTGAACAACTGTTTTTTTCAGGGGTTTTTGTTTTATTGCAGTTCACATTATGGTATGGATTTTGTTCCATAGGTTCTGAAGATCATCCTGTTACAGAAAATGAATCAACCGTACCGACTAAGAAAACAAAGAATAAGAAACAAGTAGGGCCTGATATTGATTTCACAAAAGCCTTGGCTGAAGAAATGCCAGATATCTTTGCTCCTCCCAAAAATCCCAAGTCATTACTTATGCCTGCAAATAGAGCATTTTCAAACACAAAACTTCCAGAAGATTGCCACTATCAACCAGAGAATCTTGTTAGATTATTTCTTCTGCCTAATGTAATGGTAAGGTTTCTAAGTATTATTATTTTGATTAACGATTACGGTTCAATTATTAGATGGATTGCTTTTCTTCTTATTTTCTCTCTTGATAAGATAGTTGTTTTGGTTGTAGTGTCTTGGAAGGAGAAGAACAAAGTCCTCAGGTAATATATCGGCTCTCATGGATTATCATTAAATACTTCTATCAATGTTTAAGAAGTATTTTTGTACTATCCTTCTTATATTTCCTTTAGCCTTAAACTAAATGGTTTTTTAGTGCCAGTTTGACTGTACTTAGACTTTTGCTTCTGCTGTCAAAAGACAGAAGCTTGGCAAAACGCTAAAAATAGAAGTGTTTTAGATGAAAGAAGTTTTTTTTGGCTTTTGATAAAAATGAAATCAAAAGTTGAAAACAGATGCTTCTGAGAATGACTTGCTGTAAGAGGTGAATAATATTTTTAATGAATATATCTATTAACTTATTTTTATTTATCAATAAATTTAATATTTTTAAAATAAAAATATAATATTAATTTATTATCAATAATTTTATATTTTTTTATAAATTATTTAAATGATGTAATTTATTTCAAAATTTAATAATAATTTAAAGTTAACATTTGTATTAAAAAAGAAATAATTAATAAAAATAAATATTTTAAAATTATTTAAATTATTAGAGTAATTTTAGAAAAATAATATGTTTAAAAATTATAATAAATAATTGAGTTTTTATCATTTTGATATTTACTATTATTTTTATGACTTAATTAATTAATTTTAATACCACATTTTAGATTGAGAATATTTTCTATTGCAAGTTTTATGAAACATTATATTGTCTTTCATCTTAAAGCTGCTTTTATTGACAATCATTTTTGGGAACTTTGATAACAGGAACAAAAAGATGCTTAAGGAAAAGACTGTATCTCCGTGTTACTTTATTTTGTGAATTGTTCAGTTCTATGTTTATTGTGTATCAGCCTTTTTTTATCCACATGGATGATAGAAGTGTTTATAATAGATGGAGTGGACTTTAGCATTTAGCATCAGGTCTTATTCTGTTTTCAGATGGATTGAAGCCGCAATGGGATGACACTGAAGCATTTTCAACTTGTGGTGATGACAATGTATTGAATTGTCAATTTGATGATGGAAATAGTTATAGCGATGTGGAGGACTCCAATACTCTAGTTTCTCAGCCTCGTCAGGTAGCCTTTTTATTAAGCTTTAGTTTCACTTCTAGTTGATCCCTAGGGCAAGTAGTACATTGTGCCTTAAAAAGGTTTATGAACATAGGAGTTAGGGGGTCAATAAATTAAAGTTTCAGTGACTTCACAATTGATACCCTCTTTCTTTTGTTTGGTGACAAGTGAGAACATATTAATTTTTTACTACGGTGAGAAAACCTTAATTCTATTTCCAATCTAGCTCACCTCATCCATCTATTAAACAGCCATCCTTGTATCATTCTTATGCTTTGTATTCCTTCATTGGTAATATAGGTCAAGAAAATTGATGTTCAGTTTGATAAAACTTCTAAGCAAGTTGATGTCCAAGCACTGAAGGTAACTCTTTGGAACCATCTCCAGGAGTCTCCTCAGTTAGTTAAGGTACGCAATCTACCATATTAATCATTCAACTAGTTTGGTAAATACAGACGAAGCTTGGTTGATGTATGATTCTATCTGGAGATTATATTAGGAAAATGAGCATGGATTTTTTGTTCTTAGTTGTTTGTTGCTTGCCACCCTTTTCTAGACAGAATCTTCAGTGACACTTTTCCAGTGCTGCAGAATGACTATCATTTTAGTGTTGCAGTTATTCTGGGGTTGTTGGAATAGATTAATATGTGGATGAATCAACTAAGAGGTTAATATAAGAGAGTTTCCTGGGGTAGTTATGGTGTACTGATCATAGACATCTCTCTCTATCTGTTATGATTTTTTTCT